AAATATAATTATCATTTTATACCAATTTAAAAAACTTTACAAACAAAGATTAAAAGCTAGTTTCTATAGAAATTAGGATTTTCCTTGCCAAGGGAACATTTGGTTATATTTTTTTTAGCTGTTGTAATTCAAAAAACTATCCCTTATTTCTAAAGGCTATAAGTTGGAGATCAATCTTCCTTTTTTATATTGGATCAACAATCATTCTATCCATAGAATGGCAAAAACTAAATTTAATCTCTGGGTTGGACTAGTTCTCAACATATTGATATTAAAGGTTTATATAATATCCAGTTGCATGCAAATTCGATGCAATTAAAGCTCTTGTTTCTCATCTTATAAACATGATTCTAAGCCTCTTTGACATTTGTGTAGTCATTTGAGAGGCTATAATATGTTAATCTATAGATCTCCAAAAACCTCTTGTAGAGATTTTTGGCCTATAGGAGAAGTATAGCCTTTATCACTACTAGAATATGTACCATTATCAAACCTGCCATCAAATTGTCTTCATTCCAAATGCTTTAGCATGCTTGTTTTGTTTATCTAAGTATAAAGTTTTTCTTTCATCTTAGAGTACTTTGGTGCATTGTGCAACATTTTTATGAGAATCGAAAACATGTTCTTTCATTCTTGTAACCACCTCCTTTAATTTCTTTCTAATAATAATTATATTTCAAATAAATTTATGTCTGCTCACTCCCCAAAATTTGCACTTGAATAACATGCTTCATATTGGATCTTTTCTATTATGCACCACATTGCCTATTCAACCTTTAACCACATGGCCTGACAATCCGTTATGCCTTCATATAAAATAAAATAACTAAACCTCTTTCCATTCTCCTTTTCTCTCTCTCTCTCTCTCTCTACTTTTTATCCAACTAGAATGTGCTCTACCCATAATCCAACGAGAATGTGTTCAAATGCAAGATGTACCCGACAGCCGTTTGTTAGGCCGGTTCAGCCTGAACCGGTCCAACTCCAACCGGCCCCTTTTAATGGGCCAGCTCAAGTCTACAAAAGGAGGGGCAACAACAAGAGAGAAAGAGGAGGAGGTGGGTTCCACTAGAGATTAAAATTCCAATGTTTGGAGCAAAAGGAGGGGGCGGCAAGGGCTATTAGGTTATCTGTTTACAGTTCACAAATCAAACACTAATATTTTTAGAACTCCTGCAAAAAGAACATTTTACATCCACTTCACCTCTAATTAAACAGCCCCTTAGTCATTAGTTTTTTAAACCTTATATAATATATAAGCACATTGTAGCCATCTTCATTATAATTCATAAATTGATCATAAAATTAATCTTTGTATTCATTGAATGAATGATAAATATATATATTTTTTTTAAGTTTTTTTTATAATGCTATGGCTGACTAGTTAGTTATTCACCAAAGACATGCTCTATTATGCTATCAACTTAGTTTAAATCACACTTCGAATGAGCCAATTGGTGCTTGAAATGCGCTAGAAAAATGTTTGAGTTTAGAAACCAACTCATAATTGAACTTAAAATTTATTAAGTTGATTTTGATTTTACTCCAGCGAGTTTGCTTTGAGAAAAATTTCCTGTTTATTTTCAAATTCTTGTTTTGGAGATCCCTGTTCAGCTTTCATTTCATAAAGCATGATTGCAGCTGCTACAATTTTCTTCTCTTAGCTTCATGCTGAAAAATTAATGAAATTTCTTTTGAGTTTTATTTATAATCCTATAATGCATTACTCTACGTGTCATACAGGACAAATAACTCTTATGTCTCTTAGTTTTCAGGATGCCTTAAACTGTGGTTTATACTTTTAAAAACAGGACTTCTTGTTCCACTATGTTTTGAAATCTTATTAATAGGACTCTCAGATATAGTCCACAAGTTTTCAAGATCCCACTTCTACGTTCCTGAGGTTAGTTGCTAGCTTCAGTTGACAGAACTTTACTATTAATCCAATAGTGTGTGATTACTTCATGGGATTTCCACAATAGTATGATAAACAATATTTTTGAGAAAATGCCCAAAGCTCTAACATAATTTTCTTGGAATGATGGATGGGAGACGGTGATAGGAAATACTTAAATATTTCAAATAAATCCTAGCAAGATTGATGAAAATAGCGAGAAAACTTCACGAATCTAATGGAAAAAACAACAAAACAGTAGTTTTTATGGTGGAAATCAAACAACAGAAAGAAATAAGCAAGATACAATTGATCGTCAATTCGAGAGGAGAATCGTTCTCTCCCAATCCCTAGACGAATCTAGGGCCCAAGACATCAAGACAAGAACTCCGGAAATTAGCCACCCAAAATAAAGCATAACCCTAACCCTAATTCCTCCCTCATACTTAAAGCATACAATTAATCATTAAAGCTAAAAGACAGATTAGCCCTTGCCGCCCCCTCCTTTTGCTCCAAACATTGGAATTTTAATCTCTAGTGGAACCCACCTCCTCTTTCTCTCTTGCTGTTGCCCCTCCTTTTGTAGACTTGAGCCGGCCCATTAAAAGGGGCCGGTTGGAGCTGGGCCGGTTCAGGCTGAACCGGCCTAACAAACGGTTGTCGGGTACCCCTTGCATTTGAACACATTCTCGTTGGATTATGGGTAGAACACATTCTAGTTGGATAAAAAGTAGAGAGAGAAAAGGAGAGTGGAAAGAGGTTTAGTTATTTTATTTTATATGAAGGCATAACGGATTGGAAGGCCATGTGGTTAAAGGTTTGAAACTTAGGAACTAGCATGTCAGGTTTTCAAATTTGTGAACTGTATACAGATAACCTAAACTTAAGATAATTCAAAGTTATTTCCAATAAACTTTATATAGACCAATGCAGTATAGTTTCTACTTGTGATTGTCTCCTATTTTCTGGAGCAAAATATAGCCTCATAATGTCTATATTTCTATTTTAGATTACTTCTCTTTCTAAAACCAAAACTAGTTTTAAGCACAAGTTTAGGCTTATTTTTTTTTTTATATTGCTTGCTGACTTTGACAATTTGTTCAGACAGAGGGTGCCGCCAAAAGGGCTTTAGCTCTAGATGGTTCTGATATGTAAGAAAACTCCCAATCAAGCACTACTGTCTTCAAACATTTCTTTCTATCAACTGACAAGATCATTTGTTATACTGTAGGGGAGGTTTTTTTCTAAAGATACAACCATACAAGGCTAGCCGCAATCAGAAAACTGATTTCGCGCCGGAGATTATTGATGGATACAACCGTATCTATGTTGGGAATTTGTCCTGGGACATATCAGAGGATGATCTGAAGCAATTATTCTCAGACTGTAAGATCTCTTCAATCAGATTTGGCACTGACAAGGAGACTGGGGACTTTAAAGGCTATGCTCACGTCGATTTTGCCGACTCGGTCTCCCTCACCATAGCATTGAAGTTTGATCAAAAGGTTGTGTGTGGCCGGCCGGTGAAAGTACGATGTGCTATGCCGAGGAAGAGCGGGCAGACCGAATCTGGTTCTAGATCTTATGATAAGCAGCAGGAAAGTAACCAGGTAGGAGATGGCTCTAGTGCTGGGAAATCCAAAAAGAAGAGGCGAACTTGCTATGAATGTGGCACCCCAGGTCACCTTTCTTCTGAATGCCCCCAGAAAAGAGCTGGTGGTGATCCAGTTTCTGTTTCTTAAACTTCAAAGGTGATTTTAGTGTCCTGGTGATTAAAGGCGTGTTAGGTTTTGTTTGGGATGGCTTTCTTGCTGCTTCTTAAAGCAACTTCCTAGTACAAAGTAGCTGCTTTAAGAAGCAGAAAGAAAGCCGTCCCAAACAAAGCCTTAATCATTTAGAAATTTTGTATTCAGAGAGCCTATGGATTACAGATTGTGACGTGGATGAGAGAAATGAATAAAACTTGCATGACTGGCCTAGCTGAAGCGTGTATGAAGATGAACATCAGATTGTCAGAATCTGCGTTGGAACTACTGGCATGGATCAAGGTTTGACTCACCTAATCGATCACAATTGATCAGATCAGTTATGGATATTGATCATGGCTACTTTATTGATAAGGTAGAAGAGATTTGATTTGGATTTTTGTTAGTGTGTTATCATTAATTGTATACATTTTATGAACTTGTTTAGATCTTTAAAGGGTAATTTTGATTGAGAAAATTGAGAATTGTGCTCTTCTTCCTTGTTGGAACGACTTAATGCTACTGCTTTAGTGCTCATACCCAAAACCAAAAATGTTGATAGCATCACTGACTACCCTCCCATTTCATTTTGTAATACCTTTTACAAGCTTAGTATTAAGATTTTAGCAAATATATTTAAACCCCATCATGCCTCAATTAATTAAGCCAAGTTAAGCTGGGTTCAACACCAACATATCTCAACTGATAATATCATCCTTGCCTCTGAGCTGTTGGGTGAATTTCAGCATCTTATGGCTAAAAATTTAAAAGGCAAATTGGGTTTTGAATTAGACATTATCATGAGATTTCGCTCTCATTTTGCGATGATTTTATAATCTGAGTTAATTTTTTCTATAGGCGCAAACCATTATAATTAATTACCCTTCCTGATAATGAGAGAGAACTTTCGATTAAGACTAGTTGTCAAATGAATACGTAGCATCCGACGTATAATAACAATATGTTTTAAGTATTTGAAAATTTAATATTTAAAATTAAAAATTCACCACATTGCACTTAACACGGATGGTGAGGGTAATGATGACGAGTCTGATCAAGATCTCATGGTTCTATCGTCCCAGACCATCATAATCTCTGGTCTACTTAGTCAGAGTAGATAGTTGACCCAACTTGACAGAAGGATCCTTATTGGTAGTATGATTTGTTTCGTCCAAGGGTACCTTGTAGATTTGGAGTGAATGTTTATTTAAGGAAAAAATTTTGAATCAATCTTAGCTAGCATAGGGCTTTGTGCCATATTGATCATATCATATTGATTCATTACTCAATAATTTAACATCGTTGGGGAATATATAGGATCTAATCATGACCGTAATTTAATTGTGTTTGGTTAGAGGGTCCCAGTCATACCCTTTTACCTGTGATGCCATTTGACGGCGAGATCACCAGTTAGAGGACATGTGCCATGTCATTACTGGCAAGATAAGTATTGAGATGAGTTATAGTGATATCCTCGATCAGATATTTGCTTTTTGTGAGCTAAAGTGATTTTCAGATTTATCCATCTAAGTAAATTGTTATAGATGATTGATGGCTATTTTTGCTTTCAAGTATTTGATGATTAATTTCATTTTAAATATCTTGATTTTGGATGATTATTTTAAAATTTTGAATTTTTACGGGCACTTGAATTTGGTAGATATTTTTAAATATTTGTAGTCTCCTCCAGTTGAAATTTTACATCGACACGGTTATCATCAGAGTACTTATATATGGGCAATTTCATATGTTAGACGAACCTTGTCAACTTTATCTACTTGTTGACAGAGAATCAGATTCATTGTTGGCTTCATGCCTTTAATAATGATTTTTTTTGTTATAGATCTTGAAGGCTTAATATAAATGTATAAGACAAATATCTCAATCGGCGCCACGACCGAATATTTGTTTGACAGTTCGAGTCCAGTCAACTTTTATCGATTTATGTAGAATGATCGGGCTCGAACTTAAGTTCATTTCAGCATCCTCAAACATCACATATATACATACAACACGCTCATAAGATTTTAATGCATAAGGGGGAGAATTTAAATATTTAAATATAATTATTTTCTCTTGGCGATTGTCGTTAAGGTTCACTCAAGTTTTCATTTAAAGCTAAAGAAACATCTTTTGTCCGCTTGTACGAGTGTTGTGGATTTGATGGCGTATTTAGCAGTGCTTTGGACTTCATATGTCGGCATCAGCAGTGCAGTTTATTTCACAATCTTCTGCCTTCCATCAGTGCTACGTAGTCTTTATTACAAATCCACTGCTTTTGCTCATAGGTGAATCATAGCATTGTGTTATGAGTTACTCATTGCTTCTTGCAAGTGAACTGTCATGCACTGATGAAGTTCCTACAATCTCTTATAGATACTTGCATTTATCATAATCTTGTTGCTTTTGCCTGCACGTAGTGTATTGTGCTATGCAAGCTTTGTTGAATTAGCTATAGTTCAACAATAGACGTTCAAGAGTCGTCAACCATCGTATGCTAGTGCATTGTGTTCAGCATGATGTCCTCCAACACTGCTTATAAATGTTCGTACTTGCTGAAATTCTTTTGTATTTGCTTGCATATGCCACATTATACACATGACGGATCTTCTATAGTGGCTCGTAGGTATCCCCACTTGTTGCATATCAATCACATTCGCTTGCAAAGGATTAGTATATTTGTCTAACACTGAATTCTTATTGACTACAAGGGTTTCATAAAAGCCATTCCCCTCAAAGTTTGCAGATGTAAATATAAGGATTATGTTATAAACTTCATTGTTTAAATGGAGCTCCTCTTTAATCTTCTACACTTGTTCTGATTTATTTACTTGGTTTTGAATTTTTGGGCACCTCCTTTTGTTCATCGCCTCATGTTTAAAATTATAATTATTTTTTTTTTCATGCTGTAATTAATTACCATTAATTGTTAATGAAATTGGGCCTTGGCCCTATAATGATATAATCTTCCAAAAGAAAATATATCTGCTAGCTATCACGTGATATTTGGTGGGTCCTATTTGAGATCTGACACTAAAAGTGACACGTAGCACTAAATGGCAATATGGCATGGCTGATTGACGTGGAAGAATAGGGAGCAGGTCGCGCCAGATCAGCTTGAGAGGGGCCCAGTAGTCTAAAGGGGTCAAATGCTAGAGCTACATATTGCATGTCAGATTCAATTAAGCGTTGTCGATCAATGAATGATGCCATCTGTCAATATCAGGATTATTATGCACTGAGAACCGTTTGATTTTATGACCGTAAATAGTAAAATCATAGTTATTATTCATCACTATGATTTTACTATTCACTCCTACGCTTTTACTGTTTACAATCACAAAATCAAATTGCTCTTCATATTCGGACTCCGCACGTAATAATCTCTCTGATCTTCCTCAGGCCGCCACTAACCATCATTGACCGCCTCCAAGGTCCAATTTTAGCCATGATTTGCTCATTTTGTAAGGTATTCAGTTATTTTAATTTTACTGTATGGCCATAAATATTTTATAAATGATTTCCACAAGCTTTAGGCTGTTCATTAATGAGGATTATGAGTGTGCCTTAGTTGATTTAAACTTTAAAAATTTAGCCCAAATAAATATATTTGATTGATTGGGATCAATTTATCAAAAGATGATTTTATTATTTATTGAAGAGTTAGAATTTTTTGGATTGCAATTTATAGCTTGAGTTTAAAATAAAATAATAAAACAATTCAATAGAAAATTAAAAATTCATTAAAATTTTAATCAGCTCTCATATTATAAATAAATAGAATTGCAAATTATTTTTTTTCCTAAGTTAATTATTCTATTAAAATTTTTAATTTACTTTCAAATAGTATCAAATAGACATACCAATAAATAAATTTGAAGGGCGAAGAAGATAAGAAGGGTTACTTACCAACCCAAGAATAGGGTTTCTTTTAACGTTACTGGGCCCAAAAACTGGAGCAACTCTATACACTTTCTCATGATTCTTCATTTAGGCTTCGTTTGGAACGGCTTTCTTTCTGTTTCTTAAAGTAGTTTTTTAGTACAAAATTTAAAATTTTTGTACTAAAAAGCCGCTTTAAGAAGCAGAAAGAAAGTCATCCCAAACGAAGCCTTAATCTTCTTTCTATGATTTTACCTATTTATTTTCCTATGACTCTTTATTTTAATCTTCATTCCAATTTCTATATAGGACAACCCTTTGCTTTTGTGATTGGTTAGTCGAAGGTAATAGCGTGATTAAGGGTCTGTTTGGGATAATTTTTTCATTATTTTATTTTTCAAATAGTAATTACAATTTTAGTTGATTATTTTTTTATTGATTTCTTATTATTTTTCAAAAAATTTCATGATAACAAACTGCTTTTCATAATTAGAATAACTAAGTTATTTTTTCAATAGCTATTTTATAATCAACTTTATAAAAAATTATAGCTCTTCCAAACATGTGCTAAGTTATTATATATACAGTGTGTTTAATTATGATAATAGGCTGTTAGAGGGAATTTCTTGATTATTTTGCTGAGTAATTATTTTGCAAATTTTTGTACTAAAAAGCCGCTTTAAGAAGCAGAAAGAAAGTCATCCCAAACGAAGCCTTAATCTTCTTTCTATGATTTTACCTATTTATTTTCCTATGACTCTTTATTTTAATCTTCATTCCAATTTCTATATAGGACCACGGGCAGGTACGATGCCAACGGATGTGTCAACATCGGATTGGTCCACCCTTTGCTTTTGTGATTGGTTAGTCGAAGGTAATAGCATGATTAAGGGTCTGTTTGGGATAATTTTTTCATTATTTTATTTTTCAAATAGTAATTATGATTTCAGTTGGTTACTTTTTTTTATTGATTTCTTATTATTTTTCAAAAAATTTCATGATAACAAACTGCTTTTCATAATTAGAATAACTAAGTTATTTTTTCAATAGCTATTTTATAATCAGCTTTATAAAAAATTATAGCTCTTCCAAACATGTGCTAAGTTATTATATATACAGTGTGTTTAATTATGATAATAGGCTGTTAGAGGGAATTTCTTGATTATTTTGCTGAGTAATTATTTTGCATGTTTCATATAGTGAGCTTTGTCTGTAAAAAGAGAGATTATGAGGAGTTTTAAATTGAAAATAAAATGATAAAGAGAAGGAATTAAAAATTGGCAATTAAATTTAAATGACTATTAATTAAGGGGGGAAAAAACTTAAACATGTAGTGTTCTATTGACTGATTTGAAAAGAAAAAAAAAAAAACTTTTCAAGTAAGAAGTAATAATTAATTTGTTTTGTATTTTGTTGAATATTTTCAACGAATTTCTTTGCCAGAAAAAAAAGCATAGTTAGTCCTACATGATCATGTAAAACTAGTAAACATAAGAGTTATTTGATCAAAAGTAAAAAGGTGTAGAGTATTTCAAATACAATAGTTTTGAAAATATTAATATTTGGCTTAAAGTAAAACAAAATAGAGTAAAAGTTTGATGTATTTGG